GCACAGAAAATCGCCAAAGTTGCCTCTTGCAAAACGTCTGTTTCGTTGTGCCTGACCTCCCTGTTTTGAAAAAACGGGGCTCAACGCCTGGGCCTGAGGGCCCTTTTGCAGATCACATGCCCTCACTTCTTTTTGAGGTCCGCTTCTACCCGAGGACCGGCCCAAAGCCCCCACTTCTTTTGGGGGTCCACTTCCACCCGAGGACCGGTCCCTCGTTTTTCCAGAAGTCCCGGTTCTACCAGAGCTAGCTGTAGGTAGTCCACAATTTTGCCAAGGACCGGTCCCCCAAATTTTTTTGCCCCCGAAAAACCCACTTGCGTCCTGGTCGCCCGCCGCCAAAAATGCGACACCTTGACAAAGACGCCGAAGCCCACTATACCGCAGCCTAAGGGCTGCGAATATATTATATTTTTGATTTTTGATTTTTGATTTTTATTTTTAGATTTGTGATTTTAGCTTTATATTTCGAGTCGTGTGAATTTCTTGACGTATTTTATTCCAGACTTTCAGTTTTATATCCGTCGATTTGGTGCTTCTTGCTTTTCTAGGTACTCTTGTAATTTATTTCGGACGTCCGCATCCCTACAGTTTCGGATGAACGCAAGTATCGCGGCGCAGGTTATCCTCCATGGGTAATCCATGAGTCGGAGTTCCCGTCCGAACAGGTCAATCACGGACGGTAGATCCGCCATCTCGTATGTGTTAGCCACCATTCGATGAAAAATTCCGATAATCGTCAAGGTTTTGGTTTTCTCAGCACCCGCACTTCTGAAGTGACGCAACGTCATGAGAGAGAGAGAGANGAGAGAGAGAGAGAGAGAGAGAGAGAGAGAGAGAGAGAGAGAGAGAGAGAGAGAGAGAGGTTGAATGACAAAATTGAAATATGGGTCAAATTGCGACCGCAATCTATTTCGCAGTTGAAATGATTTTTAAAAATTCATGTAGCGTTTGTCCTGGAAAGATCACAACGAAATTTACGAGTACTCCAATTTTCAGGTTTTTTCACGCATTCTTATGAGCGGGAAAACTCACTGAATTTGGAGTACTTTATTAGTTGGCCCAGGCATGGCTGAGTGGAAAAAATGAAAAATGTGCTGAATCGACGCGATAATTATTTCGCAGTCTAAATGATTTTTTGTAAATGTTCTATTATTATTTTTGGAAAGAACACGACCTCATCTATGGATTCTCAAAATTTCAGATTTTTGTGCATGTTTGTCTGAGCACAGAAAATTGTCAAAGTTGCCTCTTGCAAAACGTCTGTTTCATTGTGCCTAACCTCCCTGTTTTGAGAAGACGGGGCTCAACGCCTGGGCCTGAGGGCCCTTTTGCAGATCACATGCCCTCACTTCTTTTTGGGGTCCGCTTCTACCCGAGGACCGGCCCAAAGCCCCCACTTCTTTTTGGGGTCCACTTCCACCCGAGGACCGGTCCTTCGTTTTTCCAAAAGTCCTGGTTCTACCAAAGCTAGGTGTAGGTAGTCCGCAATTTTGCCAAGGACCGGTCCCCCAAATGTTTTTGCCCCCGAAAAACCCACTTGCGTCCAGACTTTCAGTTTTATATCCGTCGATTTGGTGCTTCTTGCTTTTCTAGGTACTCCTGGAATTTATTTCGGACGTCCGCGTCCCTGCAGTTTCGGATGAACGCAAGTATCGCGGCGCGGGTTATCCTCCATGGGCAATCCATGAGTCGGAGTTCCCGTCCGAACAGGTCAATCACGGGCGGTAGATCCGCCATCTCGTATGTGTTAGCTACCATTCGATGAAAAATTCCGATAATCGTCAAGGTCTTGGTTCTCTCAGCACCCGCACTTCTGAAGTGACGCAACGTCCTAAGAGAGAGAGAGAGAGAGAGAGAGAGAGAGAGAGAGAGAGAGAGAGAGAGAGAGAGAGAGAGAGAGAGAGAGAGAGAGAGGTGTTGAATGGCAAAATTGAAATATGGGTCAAATTGCGCCCGCAATCTATTTCACAGTTGGAATGATTTTTTAAAATTCATGCAGCGTTTGTCCTGGAAAGATCACAACGAAATTTACGAGTACTCCAATTTTCAGGTTTTTTCACGCATTCTTCTGAGCGCGAAAACTCACTGAATTTGGAGTACTTTTTTAGTTGGCCCAGGCATGGCTGAGTGGCAAAAATGGAAAATGTGCTGAATCGGCGCGACAATTATTTCACAATCTAAATGATTTTTTGTAAATGTTCTATTATTATTTCTGGAAAGAACACGACCTCATCTATGGATTCTCAAAATTTCAGATTTTTGTGCATGTTCGTCTGAGCACAGAAAATCGCCAAAGTTGCCTCTTGCAAAATGCCTGTTTCGTTGTGTCTGACCTCCCTGTTTTGAGAAGACGGGGCTCAACACCTGGGCCTGAGGGCCCTTTTGCAGATCACATGCCCTCACTTCTTTTTGGGGTCCGCTTCTACCCGAGGACCAGCCCAAAGCCCCTACTTCTTTTTGGGGTCCACTTCCACCCGAGGACCGGTCCTTCGTTTTTCCAAAAGTCCTGATTCTACCAGAGCTAGCTGTAGGTAGTCCGCAATTTTGCCAAGGACCGGTCCCCCAAATTTTTTTGCCCCCAAAAAACCCACTTGCGTCCTGGTCGCCCGCCGCCAAAAATGCGACACCTTGACACAGACGCCGAAGCCCACTATACCGCAGCCTAAGGGCTGCGAATAACCTCATGACCTGAAAACGTACCCCTAACGCATAACCTCATAACCTGAAACGTACCCCTAACAGTGATGGGGTCCCACTTTTTCACCAAAATTACCTAACACACTTGCAGTATCTCAAATGTATCTGACATCATTCACACCCATACCTGGATGTATCTGGCCGAAATTCCTTCCAAAAATACGTACGTAAAAAAGTCGTAGTGTGCGTATGCCCTTAGGCAGTGTAGTATCAGAAGCTTAGGACGATGGTAGGTGTGGCCGGCCCTTCTGGAGCCTTCCACGAAAGAACAATCTGCGTCAAGCAAAATCTATGGCGAGGTCCTTTGGGACATCCGAACGATACAGCGAATGAAGATTAGCATGGCCCCTGCGCAAGTAAGGATGACACGCATAAATCAAGAAAAGCTATCGCGAGAGGACGGTACGGTTCGAGCTCTGCTTCAGCAGATTGCCCAAGGACAGATAACCTCTGACTGTGACGGTGACCGGCACAGCTCGGACCATCCCCGATTCAACCGCTGCCACTCAGTCGGCAGGTCAAAATCGCGCGTGTTCTTTCTCGCCTCGAGCTCAGGGGCCTCGTCGCACTACTCGCCATCCGCCATCATTTTGATTGCATGTGGACATCAGTTTGTCCAGATGCATTCGAAATCTTGGCGGATGGCGAGTAGTGCACCTAGGGCCCAACACTCGGTCGGCAGATCGGAATGTCCAAAAGACAAAACCTATGGCGGGTGTATCTTTCAATGTTTTCGTACAATGTTTTCGCAGATTTCTAGAGTGGTGTGGACCATTTCTCGATTTATGCGTGTCCCGAAGGACAAACCCTCTGAAAAAGACACCCCCCCCCCACAGGGCCTAGTTGCACCACTGGCCATCCGCCAAGATTTGAATGCATATGGACAGAATCGGGACAGATTAGCTGTCCAAATGGATTCCAAAATGTTGGCTGATTGGGAGTTGTGCAACTACTACTACCGCCGTCGTAGGGGCCTCGTTGCACTGCTCGCCATCTTCCCAGATTTTAAATGAATCGGTTCGAATTTCCTGTTCCGGTTCATTCAGAATTTTGGCGGATGGAGACCGGCGCAACTAGGGCCCCCCCCCCCCTAGGCTCCCAGGCTTCTGCAATCGGCTGGGTTTCTTTTGTTTTTTTTTTYTCCCTTTTTTTTTTTTTTTCTATWTTCTTCTCTCAACTTCTGTCGTTTTGCCTTTCACTACCTACTCCCAAGGCTATCTAGAGGGGACCCCTGCAAGCATAGTTTCCTCTCACTGTGAAGGGCGATGGCGTTGAGGTATTATCATCGGACAAACCAGCCCAGGTAAATTCAATGTTGTGTCTAATCTGACAACGGTGGCCTTTTCAGCCCAGGGTGGCCTGATAGCCTTAGGGTGGCCTGATAGCCTTAGGGTGGCCTGATAGCCTTCAGGGATCCCCCACTGGGGGGCACCGGCCAGGGGACAGCTGGTAGCAGAGGGACCGAGCATCATCTGAGTGGCCAGTCGCTGTGCCTCCCTGAGTACCCCTCCCCCTATCTGCCTGCGACGTGTTTCTCTAATTTTTCTTTTTGGGAGTGTTTCTCTATTTTTGTTTTCTCAGAAAAGCGGGTAGCCCACTCCTCTCGAAATGTGCAAGCAACACGAGAGTGAATCTTCTGCTAGAACATGGACAGATACTCCGCCATGATTTCTGTCTTTTGTGCATTGCCGAGAGTAGTGGAGCGGCGCCCTTTGTGTGCACCACGATTCAGCGGTGTATTCATGCACTGGGTGCATCTGTCGTTTTCACGTCGGCCCCGCCATTTCTTTTATTTATTTATTTGTTTTTTTTTTTAACCCCGCCATTTCGAATTGTTCGGCAGAGGACCTCTCCCTCTCCAGCCCGCCCGCCTTTCGTTGGGCCTCGCTGCAACCACTCTCGGACATGCACAAAAGACAAAAATCATGGCGGTGCATCTTTCCATATTCTAGAGGAAGATGCACTCTCATTTTGCACATTTCGAGAGTAGTGCAGCGAGACCCATTTTGATTTTCCGTATTTTTTTCGATATTCCTGACTTGATCGCTTCCAACTCATCAACAACTGCGCCTCGTACATTTTCCTCCTCCCGCTCCCGCTCGCGCTCCCGGCCCCGCCCTTCGCCGTGGGCTTCGCTCTCCGATTTGTTCCCGATTTCGTTTCTTTTCGCTTGATGGATTGCTTGAACCCGCGCCCATAGTTCTCTCCGCCCGCGCCCCCGAGCGCCATTACGATTACCCCGCTTGTTCGTCGTACACTCTTTTTGCGAAAGAGCTAAAAGCCGCAAAGAGCGGCGTCAGTGAGGCGCCAAATCAGGTGCCGAAGAGAGCGAAGTGTGTGGCAGTGTGTCAGCGGGGCGGGGGTTATTGCGCGCCACGAGGGATGATGCCCCGGCGCACACGTTGTCTGATGGCGGCTTCGTGGGTAGCGCGATAATCGTTCCCCTTTCCATGTTGCACAAGGCAAGGCTCCGCCTGCGCAGTCGTTGGAAAGCGGAAGGGACATCTTAGTGTTGTTTGGGATCGGCAACAATGGGGAAAGGAGGGGGTTGGATTGGTTATATGATGCCACGTGGCATGGTGGCCATATGTCGACTAGCGGTCGTCATCTTACTTTTCTTAACATTTGCACAGCATCTCATTTTTATGTACACAGGCGATGAAGGTTTAGACTCCTTTGGTCCAGGTATGTGTAGTCGCATCTGTCCATCGCCTACCGTCTTCATCTCTTCTTCTTTCCACAGCTTCTTCTTCTTCTCATCCCCTCTTCTCGTTGCTCTGTTTTCTCCCACTTGTTTTCTCTTCCGCCATTCTCCCCCCCCTTCTACTCGCCTATTATTTCCCCTCCTGACAGCGCGCCATGTTGACCCTGGGCTTATCCCTCTCCCACGTTCTTCCTCCCGTTCTCATGGCTTCACTCTTATTGCATTTTCCTCCTCGCTCTTCCTTGTCGCCAGTCCTTTCTGTCCCTCGTTGCCCGCGCCCTGCCTCCCTCGGTCTTCCCCAGTGGCTTCTTGCCCCCAATACTCCCTTTCTTCGGTCTCACGGTTTTCGGCCCTCCCCCCCCTCTCCCCCC